ATTTCTAACAGACACATGGCCAGACAAAGGGTCCAGTGGTCCAACAGCACTACTGCATCCTGTCAGTTTATCAGAGTTACCGAATAAAATGACCTCTGTCTTTTTATCAAGATAAAGAAAGTTCAGGTCCATCCATGCTCTCACATCTTTTAAGCATTCAAGTAGCCTATTTACAGACTGGGAATCCGCTAGATCTTAATGGAAGATAGACCTGAATGTCATCAGCATAAAATGGTATGACACGTTTTTCGACACGTATTCAGGGTTCCTGCAGATCCTTAAAAAGTCTTAAAAGTCATTGAATTCATCAATCCAAAAATAATGCCTTAATTAGCCTTAAAAGGTCTTAAATCAATCTGTCAGAAGTCTTAAAAATGTAAACACATTGTAAATAGGACGTTTGTAATTTGTCTCAAATATTAAAATAATTGGTAACATTTTTTTAAACGTTCACATGCAGACATTCCTCTTTGACATCACTTCCTGTTGCTTCACATGCAAATATTTCAACAACCGTCCGTCAGAGCATCGTGAAATTCGTCTCATAATATGTTAATAATGTTATATTTCCAAAAATGTATTCAAATTTCTTACAAAAAAGTTGATGTCACGGGCACTTTAAGGTTTCATCCACAGCAAATCAGGGTTGAGACCCCACTGTGGGTCCTAAAACTCCGAATTTTGGGTCGTTAGAGAACTTCCAGGAATTAATTTAAGTTTAAAACTGACTGCTAAGAATGTTTTAGCTGTATTTGACAAAAAAGCAGTTYGATATGGTTAAAAACAATTGGTTTATTAGGAATATTTGAATACTTCAACCAAAAATACTTGGATTCATGAGTTTCTGCCAGTTTTTCTTTTTTTGTCCTTTGTGTTTATTGTGAAAATGGTCTTAAATTTAATTTCATTTGGCATTAAAAAGTCTTAAAAAGTCTTAAATTTAACTTGCCTTAAACTGTAGGAACCCTGTTCTATTTCCACACTGAGCCCCAGGAGTTAGTGTTGTCATCATAAGATATTTTTATCATGAATTATCCTCTGCACCATATAAAATCTCACATAGGAACAAAGTAAACCCACAGAACAAGATCATAAACAAAAAAAAGTTTAAAAAGTTGTAATTTTCTTTTTTTCCTCCCCCATTTCTGACGCCTCTAGATTTCGCCTAAATTATACTGTATATGGGCCAGCCCTGGTTGCAAATYATTGCACTTCTGATTTATTTGAATGAATTTATTCAAACTTAAAAATCATAAAGTGTCACTATATTAATCCCAGAATATCAAACAAAATTGGATAAAATTTATTTCTGATTTTTTTTACAGTTTTTCCACATTTTTCCTCAATCAATCAGGTATTTACATGAACATTCATCACCATGATGACTATTAAAGTTTCTCTTTCAGTTTTGCACCCATGCAGTGTGACAGCTGATCCCATGACACCGGTGATTCAGATAACGGCACGAGGCAATGTGTTTTTCATTAAAAATAATAACAATAATTAATTAAAAATAGAAATATTGTTGTATGAACACAACTTTAATTAACACAATGTGTAAAAAGCGGGATTTGTTTCCCTCTTTACATTCTGGCTTTGTTCAAAAGTAATTTATATTTTAAATTTCATTTCATTAGAATATCCATGTCTTTATATTTTTAATACTTAAGTAAAAAGGAGTATTGCAGGATCTACACTAGAAATTGGGACTGGAAAGAACAACTTCCTGTTTAAATCACTGAGCGAATAAAAAGTGAGGGAGTGTGATGCAAACAGGAAGGTTAGCCTGATGGGAGGAGTGTGAACAAATAGTGTTTGTTTTGTGTGTCTTTGTGAAAGATGCAAAGACCCACCACAAAGCAGACACCACAATGACCGGTGAGTATTTTTTATTCTAAGAACTTGTACCATTTTTTTCATTAATWAAATAGAAAATAAATAAATCTGTACATCTTTGACATACTTTAAGGTGAGTAATTGTAATCATTTTTGTCATCAGATCCAAACACATCCTTGTTTGAACTGGACTTTGAGTCTATTTATGATGAGCTCAACTTCAGCTACAACTACAACTTCAGCTACAACTACAACTTCAGCTACAACTACAACTTGAGCTACAACTACAGTGGGTTTATCCCTGACCCGGCCACGCAGCCCTGCCCCATCTTCAGCCCCCCGGATGTCGTCATGTTGCTTGTCTGCATATTTTACATCATCATCTTCCTGTTGGCAATTCCTGGGAACCTGGTGGTGGGTTTGGTGATCGGCACGAGCGAGCAGCCCCTGAACCCCTCTGACCTTTACCTCCTCCACCTGACCATCGCAGACCTCCTGCTGGCCGTCACCCTCCCCTTCTGGGCCACCTCGGTGACGCAGGAGTGGCTGTTCGGCGACGCCGTGTGTAAGATCRTCACCATCCTGCAGGAGCTGAGCTTCTACACCAGCGTTCTGTTCCTGACCTGCATCAGCATGGACCGGTACATGGTGATTGTGCGAGCGATGGAAGCCCGCAGGGCCAACAGGAAGGTGGTCAGCTGGGGAGTCTGTGCTGCGGTGTGGATTGTTGGGGGTCTTCTGTCTCTGCCGGGCTTGTTCAGCTCTTCTTATGTATCCCAGAACACCAACCACACGGTGTGCAGTGTAAACTACGACCCCAAAAGCTCTGATGAGTGGAGGATGGCCACCAGAATCCTCCGCTACGCTCTGGGTTTCTTCATCCCCTTGCTCATCATGGTGCCCTGCTACGGGATAACCATTCGACGCCTCCTTCACATCCGGGGGGGATTCCGGCGCCAGCGAGCCATGAGGGTGATCATCTGCGTGGTCGTGGCCTTCCTGCTCTGCTGGATGCCGTACCACCTGGCAGTGATGGTGGACATGTTCTTCAGGGCGAACGTGGTTCTCTACAAGTGCTTCGAGAGGATGACGGTGGACCAGATCATGTTTGCCACCCAGAGCCTGGCTCTCCTCCACAGCTGCGTGAACCCGGTGCTGTACGCGTTCGTGGGGGAGAAGTTCAGGAAGAGGCTGCTGCAAAAGTTACGAAAGATGGGCGTGCTGGAGAAAACRTCGGTTTCCAGAAGCAGCCGGTCGTCAGTGTCATCAGAAGTCACATCAACATTCATGTGAGATGATATTTTGAGTAATTCAGCTTTAATGATCCCATCATTTACTGTTTAGACTCAGGTGTTGGATTTGTTGGACTTTAAACCCCTTTTTTTATATTTGACTTGGTGTAAATTTCTAAACTTTTTTTTTTACTTTTTCATGTCACTTGTGTTAGTTTCACTCCATGCCAAAGCTTCTTTAATTTAAGTGGTGACTAAGCTATACTGATGTTGATTGGCCGATATAGGCCTCTTTTAAATTTTTTTTGAATTTCCATTCCTGTACTGAATCATTTACAAAGCAGGAAAATGAAGACGCAACAGCTACAACTAGCTTAATGTAGCCAAAAATGTATTTTTTAAAATAAGCACGAGTGGGGGTGCTGTTTGTAAAGTTACACAGTCAAAAATTACCACCAATATTTTTGTTTTATTTAGCCTTTTATAAGAAAAAAAACTGATTTATTTTTCAAAGTCAGATTTTCACCAT